GCATGAGCCACCATGCCCTGCCAAAAGTTGCAATTTTTTCCCCCCGGGGGAGATGGAGTCTCACTCTGTCTTCCAGGCTGGAGTGCACTAGTGTGATCTCGACTCACTGCAACGTCTCCCTCCCGGGCTCAAGCTATTCTTCTGTCTCAGTCTCTGGAGTAGCTGGGATTACAGGCACATGCCACCATGCCATGCTAATTTTTTTCTATTTTTAGTAGAGATGGGGTTTCACCATGTTGGCCAGGCTGGTCTTGAACTCTTGACCTCAGGTGATCTGCCCACCTCAGCCTCCCAAAGTGCTAGGATTACAGGTATGAGCTACCACACCCGGCCCTTTTTCTATTTTTTTAAGAGAGGGAGTCTCACTATGTTGCCCAGGCTGGATTCAAACTCTCAGGCTCAAGCCATCCTCCTGTGTCAGCCCCCTCAGGAGCTGCGATGACATGCACATGCCACTGTGCTTGGCATCTTTTCATGTTTTTCCATTTCCACTAGATTGTAAATAAACTGAAGGCAAGGTCCAGAACCTGTGTGTGCTTGCAGGCCCATCAGCACTACAGATATGTAGCCTGAGCTGGACAGAGATTTAGGGCATAGAACTTTATTTTCATTTTATTTTTTGTAGAGGTGGGATCTCACTTTGTTGCCCAGGCTGGTCTCAAACTCCTGAGCTTCCAGTGATCCTTCTGCCTCAGCCTCCTGAAGTGCTGGGATTACAGGTGTGAGGCACTGTGCCTGGCCTTAGGGCACAGAATTAACGCAGTGTGAAAGGAAGTGCATCTAGCCCAGCCCCCCATTGATGGATTCATCTACGTTCACCAGACAAGGTAGGGAGTTCAGGATGAGTTGCTATTATTTACAAAGTGATAACGTTTCCACTTGAAATCATGGTCCTGTGCATTCATTCACCCTTCTAACTTTTCAAATCAGGAGACAGTGACTAGAGGCCCTGCCCACCATCCCCACAGCAAATGTCATGAGAATTTCAGGTCCATCCTGACAACCGTCCCCTCTCAGTGCCTTGGTGAGTTTCCTTGGTATTTAAGAATGCTTACCAGTCTTCGGGCTTCCACCCCAAATCCAAGAAGTAGATTTCTTTCAGCTTCATTGACTTTTTATTAAGGGAGCAAGCAATTTTCTCTGGCAGTGAAAGCATTCTGCAGATGCGCAGTTCTATAGAGGAAATGTAAACCAGATACCTACCCCGCAAACAACTCACTTTTTTTTTTTTTTTTTTTTTTTTTTTGAGATGGAGTCTCGCTCTGTCACCCAGACTGCAGTGCAGTGGTGTGATCTCGGCTCACTGCAACCTCCACCTCTCGGATTTCAGCCATTCTCCTGCCTCAGCCTCCTGAGTAGCTGGGATGACAGGCACATGCCACCATGCCTGGCTAATTTTTTTGTATTTTTAATAGAGATGGGGTTTCATCATGTTAGCCAGGATAGTTTCAATCTCCTGACCTTGTGATCCACCTACCTCAGCCTCCCAAAGTTCTAGAATTACAGGCGTGAGCCACTGCATCAGGCTCAACTCATTATTCCAGTAAGGACAGACAAGTCTCAGAACCTGCCAGAAGGGGATGATTCTACCCCTATAGCAAATTTAGAGAATATTAAAAAGGAAAATTAAAAGCACCTCTATCCCTCAAACCCAATGGTAACTACTGCTAAGATTTTGCTTTTTTTTCCCATTTTCTCTTTTCTTTCCTTCCTTCCTCCCTCCCTCCTTCACTACCTTCCTATTTCTTTCCTTTCTCTCCTTCCTACTTTCTTTGCTTCTTTTCTTTCATTTTTCTTTCTTTTTCCTTTCCTTTTTCCTTCCTTTCTTCTTTTTCTTCCCTCCCTTCCTCTCTTCCTCCCTTCATTCCTTCCTTCCTCTTCCCTCCCTATGTTCCTTCCTTCCTTTCTCTTTCTCTTTCTTTTCTTTCCTTCTTCTTTCTTTCTTTCTTCCTTCCTTTTTCTTCTTTTCATTGTTCCTTTCTTTCTTTCCCCCATCCTTCCTTCCCACCTGCCTGCCTTCTGTGTGCTTTGCATCAGATTTTGAAACACATTTGGAACCATGCTTAACATTATGCTAGGACAGTTTTCTACATAGTTATACTTCAAAATTTTTAAAAATAAATAACACAAATGGGTGTACCATAATTTAAACATTCACCTGTACAATGTAAACAATGAAATCTTTTATTCCTATAGTCAATATTTGTATGTGCATTTTTTATATGTTTTTGATTATTATCTTAGGATAGATGTCTAGAAATGGAGTTAGTGTGCCAAAAAGTAAAATTTTTTTTTTTTTTTTGAGGCAGAGTCACTCTGTCACTCAGACTGGAGTGCAGTGCTGTGACCACAGCTCACTGTAGCTTCAACCTTCTGGGCTGTGCAAGCAATCCTCCAACCTCAGCCGTCTGAGTAGCTAGAACTACAGGTGTGTACCACCAAGCCCAAATAATATTTTTAAAAATTTTTTGTAGAGATGCGGTCTCACTATATTGCCCAGGCTGGTCTTAAACTCCTGAGCTCAAGTGGTCCTCCTGCCTCAGCCTCCCAAAGTGCTGGGATTACAGGTATGAGCCACCACCACTCCCAGCCTAAAAATATTTTTAAGGCTCACGACATACTGTGCTGAATTGCTCTCTGGAAATGTTACAATTTTTGCTTATCAGGGAGGTACATTTTTCTGTACACTCTACCTTGGGAGGCGGAGTTTGCAGCCGAGATCGCGCCACTGCACTCCAGCCAGGTCAACAGAGTGACTCTATCTCAGAAACAAACAAACAAACAAACAAAAATAGGCAACAAGGAAGGATGCTTAGGATGTAACACTAAGCAAAAGAAGAAAATTTGATTGTGCTTTGCTTACAACTGTGTTTAATGTAAACGTAACACTAAGCAAAAGAAGAAAATTTGATTGTGCTTTGCTTACAACTGTGTTTCAAATGTAATCACTGGGGAAAAACAAGGGTATGGCAAAACAGTAGCAGTGCTAGGCAAACTGATTTGCGTTTATTTTCTAAATCAGTTATGATGCACTTCTAATACTTTGGTAATGAAGAAAAAAAACTATGCTTTGTCTAGCACGAACTGGGCATGACTAGACTTGACAGCAGTCTGTGGTGTAGCTATCCAGAGAGTTTGGTTGACGCCAAGCTCAGGCTGAGATGACAGCATGGCATGGCAGCTAAGGAATTGACATGGCACCCAGCTGGGTTTCGCAGTGGCATTAGAAAACACCATAGAAGCCTCCACGCAGCACTCACAGCCAGAGGCTGGGTGGCACTGCAGGGGCTGGGGACCTTGGATGAGCATAGCACCATTGCTGTTTGTTTCACAGAGCAGAACACAGGCTCAGTCAGGCTCAGCCACCTCCCCACACAGGTCACACAGCCTTGGGCTGGAACACGTTCCCATGCAGGGCTCCTTCCCAGGCACCCCAGTCAAACTCGATGAATTAAGAAAATTATGGCTGGGTGTGGTAGCTCACGCCTATAACCCCAGCACTTTGGGAGGCCAAGGCGGGTGGATCACCTGACGTCAGGAGTTCGAGACCAGCCTGGCCAACATGGTGAAACCCCGTCTCCACTAAAAATACAAAATTAGCTGGGCATAATGGCATGCACCTCTAATCCCTGCTATTTGGGAGGCTGAGGCAGGAGAATCACTTGAACCCAGGAGGCGGAGGTTACAGTGAGCCAAGATCGCACCACTGTACTCCAGCTTGGGTGACAAGAGCGAAACTCTGTCTAGAAAAAAGAAAAAGAAAATTCTGATGGTGATGCATGCCTGTAATCCCAGCTACTCGGGAGGCTGAGGCAGAAGAATCGCTTGAACCCAGGAGGCGCAGGTAGCAGTGAGCTGAGACTGTACCACTGTGCTCCAGCCTGGGTGACAGAGCGAGACTCTGTCTCAAAAAGAACAAAACAACAACAAAAAAAGAAAATTCTGAGATGTCCAGGACCACCATGGATTAGAGGATTTTGCATGTGTGTGCTTTTTCTGTTTACACATGTATGATATGAAACAGTTAAATGATACAGAACTGTGTAATACATTGAGCAGGTACAGTGGCTCATGTCTGTAATCCTAGCACTTTGGGAGGCCAACGTGGGAGGATCACTTGAGCCCAGGAGTTCGAGACCAGCTTGGGCAACATGGTGAAACCCTTTCTCTGCAAAAAAATTTTAAAAGTAGCCAGCCGTGGTGACGCACGCCTCTAGTTACAGCTACTGAGGAGACTGAGGCAGGTGGATCACTTGATCCTAGGAGTTTACAACCAGCCTGGGCAGCATAGCAAGATCCCATCTCTACAAAAAAATAAAACAATTAACTGGATGTGGTGGTACATACCTGTAGTCCCAACTATTCGGGAGGCTGAGGTGGGAGATTTGCTTGAGCCCAAGAGGTTAAGGCTGCAGTGGGCTGTGATTGCACCACTGTACTCCAGCCTGGGCAACAGAGCAAGACCCTGTCTCTTAAAACAAAGCAAAACAAAACAAAAAATATGTAACATGTGAAGGAAAAAGCTCCGGTCACATCCTCCTCAGGCAACCACTAGTATTCCTAGTATCTACCCTTTTGTATGTTTTTTTTTCTATGTGCTAACTCATGTGATGACAATTTTAAACAAATTGTCCGTTTTCACCTGGAATTTTTTTTTTTTTTTTTTTTTTTTTTGACTAGTTCTCTGTCGCCACTGATGATGCCGATCATCACTCAAGTCCGCTCCGTTACGTTCTCCTTCAGCTAATAGCTGGACACAGGTGCACTTCGCCCGTGTTTTTTTTTTTAGTGAATTTTCACTGTTCAGGATGTTAGACTGTGATCCCTTCCTCAGTTTTGTTCAGCCGGAACGGACTCCCAGGTTCAGGTGATTCTCCTGTCTCAGCCTCCCGAGTAGCTGGGATTACAGGTGCCTACCACCAGGCCCGGCCAATTTTTGTATTTTTAGTAGACACGGTGTTTCCCGATGTTGGCCAGGCTAGTCTCGAACTCCTGGCCTCCCACCTCGGCCTCCCAAAGTGCTGGGATGACAAGCGTGAGCCACCATGCCTGGCCAAGGACTTTGTCTTGTTCCCACGTGTCCTCGGTGTCTAAAACAGACTAGCTTGGGAGGTGCATGCAAAATGTTCTCAGCCTGCTTCTGTGTGAAGGCCAGGGTGGGCACCTGTACGGAATTGGGGTCCCTGAGCCCATTGGAGTGGGTGCCATGCTTCAGAGTTGGGGCCCCCTGGCCTGCCATTCCCCAGCTCTCTGGTCTGACGTCAGCAGTGCGTGGCTTAGGAGATGATGAACGTGGCTTCCCGGCGTCCTCTGTTCTCTTTTAGACAAAGGTCCAAGTGAGGACCCTTAGCCCGAGGAGTGGCCCATGGAGGGTGAGGCCCTGTCTACCCCCCACATTTTATGCCCACCCCCACCCCATCTCTTCTCCCCTGCCCTCCACCTCCCCTTGGCCTCGGGGTCTCTTCCTTCTCTCCATCCCATCTCTCTCCAGCACCCTGGTTTGGGGATGGGAGTCCTGTGGGCTGCCTGAGGTGGGAGGAGATTTAAAGACCCGTCTTCCAGAAGGTCTTTAGGAGGTACCTGGTCAGAGCTGCGAGCGGTTCCCACTGCTAAGGGAAATTACAAGGCTTTGTTTTCATTACACACCCTGCTGCCTTCCGCAAAGGTTTTAAGACTGGGAACTGAGCCTCCTCTATCTGAACAAGTAGAATAGAGGCCTGAAAGCACAAAATTGGCTGTGTCCAGCAGACACGCCCATTCTGAGGAACATGAGAATTCCCACCCTGCTGAGAATGGAAGTAGGACAGAGAGAGAGGGAGGCCAAGGTGAGGGTGGGTCTGTTTCACCTCTGGAGTACCCTGGAATGGAATGAGTGAGTGTCAAAGGAGAGAACCCAGCCTGGCTGGAGGAACCAGGAAGTCTTAACACAGTTCCACTGCCACCTGGTGGCGGCGTGCTCAATTCGCAGGCTTAGTGTGTACCCACTAGTTCTCAGTCACGTACTATACTCAGTCACATACCTAGAAAGACCCATGGTCACTGCTAGTACACAGAACCTTCCAAATCTTCATTTAGACCGGTGGTGCCCTAGATTTGATTTCACAAACAAGATTGTGAGCCCAGGAATTGTGGATCTGTCTGCGTGTGACATTTCTGAGGAAATAAGTTATCCACCGCCACCGCCCCAGCCTTCCCCCATTCCAAGATCCCACCACAGGGCCAATCTTGGTACCAGCAGAGCAGGAACATCAGCCAAGAAGCTGCCACCAAAAAGCCTCAACAGACTGCCTTTTGCCTTCCAGACAGCCACAGTGACGTGATCCAGCCCCTGTGGAAGCAGGTGGAGCTGCTCGTCAACACACATTACAGTGAGCAACAAGTGGGACGGGGTCTGGGGGCATCCCGGCCCCCTCCAGCTGCCCTGTTTGCAGAAGGACTTTGGACCCATACCCTTGCCTGCTCCCATCTGAGCTGCTCTCTGGGCAGGGACAAGGGAGGGAGAGAAGGGAGGAGCTGGGACCCTCCTTAAAAAGAAAAGAATAAGATAAGATTAACCTCAGTGGTGTGCCAGGCATGAGGCTAGGTGCTTCCCCATGTTTTTTTGTTTTGTTTTGTTTTTTTGTTTTGAGACAGAGTCTCACTCTGTCATCCAGGCTGGAGTGCAGTGGCACAATGTCGGCTCACTGAAACCTCTGCCTCCCAGGTTCAAGCGATTCTCCTGCCTCACTCTCCCGAGTAGCTGGGATTATAGGTGGCCGCCACCACGCCCAGCTAATTTTTGTATTTTTGATAGAGACAGGGCTTCACTGTGTTGGCCAGGCTGGTCTTGAACGCCTGACCTCAAGCAATCCGCCCGCCTCTGCCTCCCAAAGTGCAGGGATGATAGGCATGAGCCACCGTGCCCAGCCCCCCATGTTGTTGTATCCCATCTCACAAAATCCCCATGTCTTAAGACCCACTTTACAGATGAAGAGAACTGAGGCCTGGTAAAGGGGTGTGGCTCATCCAAGGCCCCACACTACTCAGTGGCAGAGATCAGGCTCATTCCACGGCGTGGTGTTGGGCCACACCAGCATGTGGGGTTGCCTGTGGTGGCAGGAGGGACACTGGAGGGGCCTTACTGGAAGGGTGAGGTCAAGTAGACTTAGGGGGAGGTAATGCCGAATCTCAGCAGCCATTAGTGGTGACTTCTGTGCTGCCTGGGCATGAGGGCATGGACCCAGCGTGGGCCTTGGGGTAAGCATGGGTTGAGTTCTTATCCCCTGGCTCTGCTGTTCAGTGGCTCTGTGACCTCAGACAAGTCACGTGCCCTGTGAGCTCCAGGGTCCTTTCCTGCAAGCTGGGAGGCCACTCTGCCCACCTCCCAGGAAGGCTGGCAGGCCTTCAAAAGGGTTCTGGCAGCTTTGCCCCCTACATAGGCACAGGACACAGGGGTTGAGGCTTCTGGCCCCATGGCACCGGGTGGCCTTACAGCAGCCATGTCTCTGCAGCCAAGGCCATTGGCATCTCGGAGCCCGTCAAGGTGCCGTACTCCAAGTTTCTGATGCACCCGGAGGAGCTGTTGGTGGTGGAGCTGCGTGAAGGCATCTCCCTCCGCAGGTCCAACTGCTTTGGGGTCGCCAAGTTCCAGAAGGTTCTGAAGGCCAGCAATAGCATCCAGTTTGTCTTCAAGAGGTAAGGCCCGACCAGGTCCACAGGAGACAGCGCCAGGCCTGCTCAGCACCCAGGGGCAGGAGCAGCACCGAACTGCCATCAAGTGACTCTTGTGCCTCAGCCACACCAATAGCTGGGACCACAGGTGTGTGTCACCATGCCCAGCTAATTTATTTATTTATTTATTTTTATATATTTTTTGAGACGGAGTCTCACTCTGTCGCCCAGGCTGGAGTGCAGTGGCCGGATCTCAGCTCACTGCAAGCTCCATCTCCCGGGTTTACGCCATTCTCCTGCCTCAGCCTCCCGAGTAGCTGGGACTACAGGCGCCCGCCACCTGGCCCGGCTAGTTTTTTGTATTTTTTTTTAGTAGAGACGGGGTTTCACTGTGTTAGCCAGGATGGTCTCAATCTCCTGACCTCGTGATCTGCCCGTCTCGGCCTCCCAAAGTGCTGGGATTACAGGCTTGAGCCACCGCGCCCGGCCCATGCCCAGCTAATTTATTTATTTATTTATTTATTTATTTATTTATTTATTTATTTATTTTATTTTATTTTTTTAGAGAGAGGGTCTGGCCACATTGCCCAGACTGTTCTCAAACTCCTGGACTCAAGCCATCTCCTGCCTGGTCCTCCCAAAGTGATTACAGGCGTGAGCCACCATGCCTGGCCACTATTTCTTTTCTTTTTTTTTTTTCTTTAGACAGAGTCTCACCTCTGTCTCCCAGGCTGGAGTGCAGTGGTGCGATCTTGGCTCACTGCAACCACAGCCTCCTGGGTTCAAATGATTCTCCTGATTCAGCCTCTCGAGTAGCTGAGACTACAGGTGCCGGCCACCACGCCTGGCTAATTTTTGTATTTTTAGCAGAGATGGGGTTTCACCATGTTGGCCAGGCTGGTCTTGATCTACTGACCTCAAGTGATCCAGCCACCTTAGCCTTCCAAAGTGCTGGGATTACAGGCGTGAGCCACCGCACCAGGCCCCTTTTCTTTTCACCTTTTTTTTTTTTTTTTGACAGCAAGGTGTTAGATGGGGTTTGGCTGCAGTTGGCACACATGAGGCTCCCCAGGCCTGCCAGACCTAAAGTCACTGAGCTGACCCCTTTCACAGTCTCAGGAGAGCAGTGTTCAGTTTGTCCAGATGCAGAATGGGAACGTCCCATCAGCTCACGGGTTCTCCAGGCTGGCGTGTTGGTGTCCTGGGCCAGGGGCTGGGGGCAATGTCCCATCGTCCCAGGATGGGAAAGTCTGGCAGTAGCTTCTCCAGGCTCTTTCTGTTTCCTTGAGCATGTTGTGTTTTTGCCAGTGAGGGCCCAGGGCAGCATCCGTGGATACACCATGTGTGCCCAGCTAGGATAAAAAGTCCCTTTGGAGAAGGTGGTGGCAGTTATTGAGTAAAAATGTGGTGGGGGATTTCAGGAACAGTGGCTCATGCCTATAATCCTGGCACTTTGGGAAGCTGAGGTGGGAGGATTGCTTGAGTCCAGGAGTTCAAGACCAGCCTGGGCAACATAGCAAGACTGTGTCACTACAAATTTTTTTTTTTTTTTTTAAGCTCTGATGTGGCAGCACATGCCTGTAGTCTCAGCTACTCAGGAGGCTGAAGCAGAAGGATCACTTGAGGCCAGGAGTTCAAGACTAGCATGGGCAACATAACGAGACCCCATCTCTAAAAAAAATTTAAATTAGCTGGGCATGGTGGTGCACACCTGTTACACCTGTAATCTCAGCTATTCAGGAGGCTGAGGTGGGAGGATCACTTAAGCCCAGGAGGGGTTTGAAAGCTCCAGTGAGCTATGATTGCACCATTGCACTCCAGCCTGGGTAGCAGAGCAAGACCCCTCCTCAAAAAAATGAAACAACAAAACAGGGAATGGGAGGATCATATTTCCATTCTGTGTTTGTTAATTCTGTGTTACTGTAATAGCATACATTTAGGCTTGGTTTACGGCTGGGCACGATGCCTCATGCCTGTAATCCCAGCACTTCGGGAGGCCAAGGCGGGCACTTGAGGTCAGGAGTTTGAGACCAGCCTGGCCAACATGGTGAGAGCCTGTCTCTACTAAAAATATACAAATTAGCCAGGCGTGGTGGCTCACGCCTGCAATCCCAGCTGTAATCTCCCTGTCGTCAGGAGACTGAGGCACAAGAATCACTAGAACCCAGGAGGCGGAGGTTGCATTGAGCTGAGATCACGCCACTACACTCCAGCCTGGGGAACAGAGTAAGACCCTGTCTCAAAAAAAAAAAAAAAAAAACAGAAAAGAAAAAATTATGCTTGGTTTGCTTGAAAGTGGCAAGAAAGAAGAGACTCTTAAGGGTTTATTCCTCCAGGGGAATAGATGGTTCTCAAACTGGGAGACTCACAGTGTCATTTTAGCATACAGTGGCGAGGAGACCCGCTCGGACAGGGAGCTCTTCTGCAGGGCCTGCTCTATGCCAGGAGGGAGGCTGCTGCTCCACGACACACAAAGAGCAGATAGCGAAAAGCTACACAACAGGGCTGGAGAGCAAGAGTTGTGATTTGTGCAGTAGAATCAAAGGCTTCAGCAGACCAGGATGAAATGCAGCCACATACCTGGTGTGTCTGGGCATATTAAAAGGAAGATTGAACTGGGCATAGTGGCTCATGCCTGTAATCCCAGCACTTTGGGAGGCTGAGGTGGGCAGATAATTTGAGATCAGGACTACTAAAAATACAGAAATGAAGGCCAGGCGCGGTGGCTCACACCTGTAATCCCAGCACTTTGAAAGGCCAAGGTAGGCGGATCACCTGAGGTCAGGAGTTCGAAACCAGCCTGACCAATATGGAGAAACCCCATCTCTACTAAAAACTACAAAATTAGGCCAGGCGTGGTGGCTCACGCCTGCAATCCCAGCACTTTGGGAGGCCGAGGTGGGCAGATCACGAGGTCAGGAGATTGAGACCATCCTGGCTAACACGGTGAAACCCCGCCTCTGTTAAAAATACAAAAAGGTAGCCGGGTGTGGTAGTAGGCACCTGTAGTCCCAGCTATTTGGGAAGCTGAGGCAGGAGAATGGCGTGAACCTGGGAGGCGGGGCTTAGAGTGAGCCAAGATTGCGCCACTGCACTCCAGCCTGGGCAATAGAGCGAGACTCCATCTCAAAAATAAAAAACAAACAAACAAAAAAACAAAGTTAGCCGGGTGTGGTGGTGGGTGCCTGTAATCCCAGCTACTCGAGAGGCTGAGGCAGAAGAATTGCTTGAACCCAGGAGGCAGAAGTTGCAGTGAGCCGAGATCGCGCCACTGCACTCCAGCCTGGGCAACAAGAGCAAAACTCCATCTCAAAAAAAAAAAAAAAATTAGCCAGGCATAGTGGCATGCACCTGTAATCCCAGCTACTCAAGAGGCGAAGACAGGAGAATCACTTGAACTCGAGAAGCGGAGGTTGCAGTGAGCCGAGATCGCACCCCCGCATTTCAGCCTGGGGGACAGAGTGACACTCTTGTCTCAAAAAATAACAAATAAATAAATAAAAAGGGAAGATTGCATTTCAGGCGGTTTAAGGATAAACTTGTGATAGACGTATAACCCATCAGATGTATGAAAATATAGGGAAATAAAGATTCACAAGAGAATATGTGTAATTATAGCACAGTAATTGGCTCTACTGTATACATGTATAGTACTGTACTGGTTGAAGGAGAGTTTCCTTCAACAGATTCCCAGCATGAGCAATGTGGTGAAACCACATCTCTAGGGGGAAAAAAAAAAAAAAATAGGCTGGGCGCGGTGGCTCAAGCCTGTAATCCCAGCACGTTGGGAGGCCGAGACGGGCGGATCACGAGGTCAGGAGATCGAGACCATCCTGGCTAACACGGTGAAACACCGTCTCTACTAAAAAAATACAAAAAGCTAGCCGGGCGAGGTGGCGGGCGCCTGTAGTCCCAGCTGCTCGGGAGGCTGAGGCAGGAGAATGGCGGGAACCCGGGAGGCGGAGCTTGCAGTGAGCTGAGATCCGGCCACTGCACTCCAGCCTGGGCGACAGAGCGAGACTCTGTCTCAAAAAAAAAAAAAAAAAAAAAAAAAAGCTAGGCTTGGTGGCATGCACCTGTAGTCCCAGCTACTCAGGAGGCTGAGGTGGGAGGATCACTTGAGCCAGGAGGTTGAGGCTGCAGTGAGCCATGATCGCACCACTGCACTCCAGTTTGGGTGACAGAGTAAGACCCTGTCTCAAAAAAAAAAAAAAAAAAAAAAAAAAAAAAAGTAATTACATTCTGGCTGGGCTCACGCCTGTAATAGGCCCAGACAGGAGGATCGCTTGAGCCCAGGAGTTTGAGACCAGCTTGGGCACTGTATCAAGACCCCATCTCCACAAAAAAATTAAAAAATTCTCACACCTGTAATCCCAGCACTTTGGGAGGACAAAACGGGAGGGTCACTTGAGGCCAGGAGTTCAAGACCAGCCTGGTCAACATAGTGACCCTGTCTCTATTTTATTTTTAAAATTAAAAAAATTAGCCAGGTGCAGTGGTATGTGCCTGTAGTCCCAGATACTTGGGAGGCTGAGGCGGAAGGCGGAAGAATCGCTTAGGCACAGAAGGTCCAGGCTGCTATGTGAAGGTCCAGTGAGCTATGATGGCACCACTGCACTCCAGCCTGGGGACAGAGCAAGACCTCATCCCTTTAAAAATACAAAGAGAGGCCGGGCGTGCTGGCTCACACATGTAATCCCAGCACTTTGGGAGGCCAAGGCAGATGGATCACTTGAGGTCAAGAGTTCGAAACCAGCCTGGCCAACATGGTGAAACCCTATCTCTACTAAAAATACCAAAAATTAGCTGGGGGTGGTGGTGCTCACCTGCAGTCCCAGCTCCTCAGGAGGCTGAGGCTCAAGAATCACTTGAATCTGGGAGGTGGAGCTTGCAGTGAGCTGAGATCACATTACTGCACTCCAGTCTGGGCGACAGAGCAAGACTCCTTCTCAAAATAAATAAATAAATAAATATATATAAATAAATAAAATACAAAGAGACAAACAAACTAAAAAAACATCCTGGGCGCTTGCCGGGTCCCAGGCTTGCAGCCCAGTGGTAAATGCCACCAAGTCCTGCCCTGGAGTTGCTGATGTCACCCAGACAAAATCACAGTATCATGTCAGGTAGAGATAACTGCTGTGACAGGACGTAACTCAGAGTGAGGGGGAGAGAGGGACAGGAGGAACCTGGATAAGGAGGTGACACTGGAGCAGTGACCCAATGAAGGGAGAGGGCCAGCCAGGTGGTGCATAAAGAGTGTGGGAGCAGGCCAGGCGCAGTGGCTCACGCCTGTAATCCCAGCACTTTGGGAGGCTGAGGCAGGCAGATCATGAGGTCAGGAGTTTGAGACCAGCCTGACCAACATGGTGAAACCCCGTCTCTACTAAAAATACAAAAATTAGCCTGGCGTGGTCGTGTGTGCCTGTAATCCCAGCTATTCAGGAGGCTGAAGCAGGAGAATCGCTTGAACCCAGGAGGTGGAGGTTGCAGTGAGCCGAGATCACGCCATTGCACTCCAGCCTGGGTGACAGAGGGAGACTCTGTCTCAAAAAAAAAAAAAAAAAGACTGTGGGGACAGAGAAAAAGTCATGCAAAGTCCCTAAGGCAAGAACGTGCTTGTGTGTTTGAAGGCTCGCAAGGTGCCCTTGTAGCTGCTGCAGGCTGAGTGAGGGAAGGATGGTGAGATTGAGGCCAAAGAGGTAGCAAGGGACCAGGCACGGTGGTCCACGCCTGTAATCCTACCACTTTGGGAGGCTGAGGTGGGAGGATTGCTTGAGCTCAGGAGTTTGAGAACAGCCTAGGCAGCATAGTGAGACCTTACCTCTATAAAAAAGAAAAACAGGTCAGGAGTAGTGGCTCACGCCTGTAATTCCAGCACTTTGGGAGGTCGAGGAAGGTGGATCACCTGAGGTCCGAAGTCCAAGACCAGCCTGGCCAACACGGTGCAACCCCGTCTCTAAAAATACAAAAATTGGCCAGGCATGGGGGGTGAGGGGGGCCTGTAATCTGTAATCCCAGCTACTCAGGAGACTGAGGCAGGAGAATTGCTTGAACCTGGGAGGCAGAGGTTGCAGAGAGCTGAGATTGTGCCACTGCACTCCAGCCTGGGTGACAAGAGCAAAAAAAAAACTCTGTCTCAAAAATAAATAAATAAATAAATAAATAAATAAATTAATTAATTAAAAGAAAAATAAAAAGGTGGGCAGGGGCCAGATCACATGGGTTTGGGGCCAGCTTAAAGAGTTTGAGGCCGGGCGCGGTGGCTCAAGCCTGTAATCCCAGCACTTTGGGAGGCCGAGACAGGCGGATCATGAGGTCAGGAGATCGAGACCATCCTGGCTAACACAGTGAAACCCCGTCTCTACTAAAAAATACAAAAAAAGTAGCCGGGCGAGGTGGCGGGTGCCTATAGTCCCAGCTACTCGGGAGGCTGAGGCAGGAGAATGGCGTGAACCCGGGAGGCGGAGCTTGCAGTGAGCTGAGATCCAGCCACTGCACTCCAGCCTGGGTGACAGAGCGAGACTCCGTCTCAAAAAAAAAAAAAAAAAAAGAGTTTGAATGTTTTTTTTTTTTTTTTTTTTGAGACGGAGTCTCGCTCTGCCGCCCAGGCTGGAGTGCAGTGACTGGATCTCAGCTCACTGCAAGCTCCGCCTCCCGGGTTCACGCCATTCTCCTGCCTCAGCCTCCCGAGTAGCTGGGACACCTCGCCCGGCTAGTTTTTCGTATTTTTCAGTAGAGACGGGGTTTCACCGTGTTAGCCAGGATGGTCTCGATCTCCTGACCTCGTGATCCGCCCGTCTCGGCCTCCCAAAGTGCTGGGATTACAGGCTTGAGCCACTGCGCCCGGCGTTATTTTATTTTTTAAAAGTTCTTAGAGACAGGCTCTCATTCTGGTTTTTGTTTTGGTTTTTGCTTTCAACGCCCACTCCCTCAAAGCATAAACCAGGGGCACCCGGGCAGCTTGAGGTTAGGTGCCCATTCAACAGCAAGTCCTCATGAGTGACATTTTCTATGGTTCTGTGCAGAGACATCTTGTGCTCATGAGCATTGGTTTTTTGTTTTTGTGTTTTTTTCCCTCGTTTTTGAGAGAGTCTCACTCACTCTGTTGCCCAGGCTGGAGTGCAGTGGCGTGATCTCGGCTCACTGCAACATCCGCCTCCCGGGTTCAAGCGATTCCCTTGCCTCAGCCTCCTGAGTAGCTGGGATAACAGGCGCATGTCACTACGCCTGGCTAAATTTTGTATTTTTAGTAGAGACGGGGTTTCACCATGTTGGCCAGGCTGGCCTCAAGTGATCTGTCCACCTTGGCCTCCCAAAGTGCTGGGATTAGAGGCGTGAACCACCATGCCCGGCCTTTTGTGGATTTTTTTGAGACAGAGTCTCGCTCTGTCACCCAGGCTGGAGTACAATGGTACCATCTCGGCTCACTGCAGCCTTCACCTTCCAGGTTTAAGCAACTCTCTTGCCTCAGCCTCCCAAGTAGCTGGGATTACAGGTGTGAGCCACCATGCCTGGCCATAAGCATTTGTTTTAAGAGACAGGTCTTTCTGTAGCCCAAGCTGGAGTGTCACAGTCATAACTCACTGCAGCCTTAAACTCCGGGGCTCAAGCAATCCTGCCTCAGCCTCCTGAGTAGCTGGGACAGCAGGAGCATGCCACCACACCTGGCTAATTTTTACATTTTTTATAGAGAAGGGGAGTCTCGCTATGTTGCCCAAGCTGGTCTCAAACTCCTGGGCTCAAAGCAATCCCCTTGCCTCAGCCTCCCAAAGTGCTGGGATTACAGGTTGAGCCACCGCGCCCAGCCATGAGCAGTTTTTAAAGTCACGATGGCTTTCTCCACCTGTCATTTGGAAAGGGAGGCAGGTTAGCGCAGTGGCCGACGGGAGAGGCCGTCTGGTGGGTTTGAGGCCAGCTCCTCCTGTTACTCCCCGTGGCCTTGGCAGCCGGCTGTGCTATTTAAGCAGAACCACTGTCACTACTTGGACCTGGACTCAGGGACTCTGCCCAGCTTCGGCCTCTCTGAGGTTACTGTTGGGAACTCGCTTCCCCTTTCGGAACCTGAGTTCTCCCATAAACAGGAGGGGCCTAATGCAGTCCGAAGCCTTTTCTAGCTCCCGAGACTGTGGTTCAAGGCAGGGCTATGCTTCCCACTCCCAGCCCTGGCCCCGTGACCTCAGCTCTGTGCCTGGCACTGTACAGAAGCCCACCGCCAGAGTGGGCACCAAATCCTCATCTACTGGGGACCCAGGGGGTGCCCTCCCTGAGAGTTTGGCCCTTGGTCTCACTCCCAGGCAGAGACTCCTAGGTGCTGCTGCTTGATTACCCCTGTGACAGAGAGCTCATTACCTCTCCAAGTCCATTACCTCTCCAGAGAGTTCATTACCTCTGCACTCCATGGCCCACCCTGCCATCCCCCGACAGCCCTGCTTTGGCCAGCATGATTTTCCTAGTGTCCTCTACCCACCACAAACCCCAGCCCCCCAACAGGCTTGCTCTAAGGGGACAAGTTGTGCTGAAGATGGGGCCTTAAGAAGCAGTGCTCTATGATAAAGAAGGTTGACTCATGTCCGGGCAAGGCTTTCTGGAGTCTGTGGAGCTAAAGACATTAGTATAATACGGAGCTGGGCTTGGTCACTGGTGCTCCCGACTGCAGTGACACAGCAGTCTCAGATGTGAGCCATAGATCTCAGACCTTTCCAGAAGCTTGGAGTTCTTGCTATGTAGTGGGCCCCGACTGTTTCTACACTTTATTTATTTTTTTATTTATTTAGAGACAGAGTCTTGCTCTGTCACCCAGGTTGGAGTGCAGTGGCGCTATCTCAGTTCACTGCAACCTCCCCCTCCTGGGTTCAAGCGATTTCCCTCCCTCAGCCTCCCGACTTGCTGGGATTATAGGCGCCTGCCACCACACCCAGCTGATTTTTTGTATTTTCAGTAGAGATGGGTTTCACCATGTTGGCCAGGCTGGTCTCAGACTCCTGACCTCAAGTGATCCATCCTCCTCGGCCTCCCAAAATGCTGGGATTACAGGCATGAGCTACTGCACCAGACCTTGTTTCTACACTTTAAACCAGCTCCACGGGAGGCCCTCTGAGCCCGCCTGCTCCAATCCCCGGCAGTGACAATCGTGCAATGTCCTGGGAGCAGGAATGAGATATCAGACAGTTGTGTTCAGGACTGGGCGGGTCTCACTCCCAGCTGGACCCTTCAAGCCCAGCGCAGTCCCCCAGATTCCACACATGGGGCGACAGGGACTCCAGGCCTGAACTGTGCGGACCCAGGAGGGTCCATTACAGGGATGTGCAGACGGAGGCCCAGAGGGGAGTGCTGGGCAGTCCCACAGATGCTTGGAGGGACCTCTGTGATAGCCCCCACTTGTGTTTTCCAGGCCTGAGCTGCTCAAAGAGCCCATCGTGGAGAGTCAAGGTACCCAGCGCAGGGTTGTGGGTCGTGGTGTGGGCGGGCAAGGGAGGGCCCCAGGGGCCTCTGCCACCAGCCCCTCCTCCTGCTGCCTCTGTCCTGCTCCCATCCTGGCCCTGGCATTCTCCCCACACCCCCGCACTGGGTTTCCCCTAACGATGCCATCTTGGGTCCCAGGAACTGCCTCCTCACTTGGCTTCTCTCCCCCTGCCCTGCCCCCAGAGAGGGACTCCGGGGACCCTCTGGTGGACGAGAACCTGAAGAGACAGGGCTTTCAAGGTAAGGTTGAGCTCAGGGGGAGGTCTGTTGTCCCAGCACCATGACCTTGACCTGGTTTGGGTTTGGAGGGCCAGGCTGGAAGTGGGGAGGAGCTGGCCCCCAACCTCAGGGCCTAAGGAACCAGGCAAGCCAGGTTGGCAGCCCAGGCCCGGCTGTACCCTGCCAGCTCTGTGTTAGAGACTCCAGGGGAGAGGGGGTGCCTACAGGTGGATGGTGGGGGGAACTGGGTGGTGGGAGAGTACAGGGCCCAGGAGCCTGTCTGCTCCCCGCCGCCGGCCATCCCCACTGAGGTAGCTGACACGCCCACTCCTTATTCAGCAATCAGCTGTGGTCTTAGTGCTTTGAAATCAGAATAGGAGGCAGGCGCAGCACCTCACGCCTGTAATTCCAGCACTTGGGGAGGTCAAGGAGGGAGGATGGTTTGAGGCCAAGAGTTCAAGACCAGCCTGGGCAACATAGAACCCGTCTCTATACCTATTTTTTAAATTATTATACTTTAAGTGTAATAATTAGGGTACATGTGCACAACATGCAGGTTCTAGGGTACATGTGCACAATGTGCAGGTTTGTTACATATGTATACATGTTCCATGTTGGTGTGCTGCACCCATTAACTCGTCATTTACATTAGGTATATCTCCTAATGCTATCCCTCCCCCTCTATGTCTATTTTTAAGAAAAGAAATCAGAGGCCGAGTGCAGTGGCTCACGCCTGTAATCCTAGCACTTTGGGAGGCCAAGGCAGATGGATCACTTAAAGCCAGGAGTTCAAGACCAGCCTGGCCAACATGGCAAAAACCCGTGTCTACCAAAAAAATACAATAATTAGTCGGGCGAGGTGGCACGCACCTGTGATCCCGGCTACTTGGGAGGCTGAGGTGGGTGAATTGCTTGAACCTGTGAGGCGGAGGTTGCATTGAGCTGAGATCGTGCCACTGCACTCCAGCCTGGGCGACAGAGCAAGACACTGTCTCAAAAAACAAAAAAAAGAGAGCGAGATGGTGGTCTGGGATCCGTCTGGCACATGCTAGCACTTTTTTGTTTGTTTGTTGAGAAGGAGTTTTATTCTTGTTGTCCATGCTGGAATACAATGGCATGATCTCAGCCTACTGCAACCTCCGCCTCCCGGGTTCAAGCGATTCTCCTGCCTCAGCCTTCTGAGTAGCTAGGACTACAGGCTCCCACCACCACACCTGGCTAATTTTTGTACTTTTAGTAAAGACAGGGTTTTGTCATGTTGGCCAGGCTAGTCTGGAACTCCTGACCTCAGGTGATCTGCCCGCCTCAGCCTCCCAAAGTGCTAGGATTACAGGCATGAGGTACTGTGCCCGGCCTTTTGTTGCGTTTTTTTTTTTTTTTTTTTTTTTTTTTTTTTTTTTTTTTGGCAGAGTCTCACTTTGTCTCCCAGACTGGAGTGCAGTGGCACGATCTCGATTCATTGCAACCTCCGCCTCCTGGGTTCAAGTGATTCTCCTGCCTTAGCCTCCTGAGTAGCTGGGATTACAGGCGCCCAACACCACGCCCAGCTAATTTTTGTATTTTTAGTAGAGATGAGGTTCGGCTATGTTGGCTAGGCTGGACATGAACTCCTGACCTCAGGTGATCCGCCTACCTTGGCCTCCCAAGGTGGTGGGATTACAGGTGGGAGCCACTGCCCTCAGATGGTGAGTGATTTTTTTATTGTATCTTGAAAGTTTGGGGTGTTATATTAGGAGGCTCTCAATCTGATTTAAATATTCTTTAGCCAACATCACACTGGTGGGAAAAGGGAGTTGCGACCTCATTACCACGGGTGGAGGTAGAAATCCAGGCTCCCCTCTCAGCCCCGACCAATACCACGGAGAGGGTGGAGAGGACAGCAACAAACACTTCATTCTCACCAGGCAGGGCTGGAAGTTCAGTCTCCACACAACGTCTACTGACACTGTGGAGAAAGGGAAGTGCCCTACATTTCCAAGAGCAGGAAAGGAGGAATTTCAGGTTCCCCATTCAACCTTTTTTAACACACAGAGGAACCTGGGGGGAAAAAACTAAGTACAAATTTCTTTTTTTGGCAGAGCGGGGCATGGAGGCTCATGCCTGTAATCCCAGCACATTAGGAAGCCAAGGTGGGAGGATTGCTTGAGCCCAAGACTTTAAGACCAGCCCGGACCGCCAGGCGTGGTGGCTCACACCTTGTAATCCCAGCACTTCAGGAGGCCGAGGCAGGTGGATCACGAGTTCAGGAGATCAAGACCATCCTGGCTAACATGGTGAAACCCCATCTCTACTAAAAATACAAAAAATTAACTGGGCGCGGTGACACACACCTGTAGTCCCAGCTCCTTGGGAGGCTGAGGCAGGAAAATCACTTGAACCCAGGAGGCGAAGGTTGCAGTGAGCTGAGATTGGGCCACTGCACTATAGCCTGGGTGACAGAGTGAGACTCCATCTCAAAAAAAAAAAACCAAAAACCAAACAAACAAAAAAACCCAGCCAGGACAACATAGTGAGAGTCTGTCTCTATAAAAAATTTAAAAATTAGCTGGGTGCAGTGGCGTACATGTGTAGTCTCAGCTACTCAGGTGGCTGAGATGGGAGGCTAGCTTGAGCCCAGGAGGTCCAGGCTGCTGCGAGTTATGTTCGCACCACTGCACTCCACAGCCTGGGTGACAGAGCCAGACCCTATTCCCTCCCCACACACACACAAAAAAAACCCCAAAACCAAAAAAGAATTTCACGATGGCAGCTACAAAGCCCTAAAGTTCAAGCATGGGACCCTGTGCAGACACACCTTTGTGCTTCTCAATTTTCTGTTTTTCATATTGATCCTGAAAGCTCTTGTTCTCCATAGGTGATTTATATGTTTCTATTGCAAATTGATTTTTTCTCCATAATGTTTGCTAAGTGGTTAGTAATGGTATATAGGAAAGTCATTTTGTACAGTTAGCTTTTTTTTTTTTTTTTTTTTTTTTTTTTGGAGACGGAGTCTCACGCTGTTGCCCAGGCTGGAGTGCAGTGGCGCGATCTTGGCTCACTGCAAGCTCCGCCTCCCGGGTTCCCGCCATTCTCCTGCCTCAGCCTCCTGAGTAGCTGGGACTACAGGCGCCCGCCACCGCGCCCGGCTAATTTTTTGTATTTTTAGTAGAGACGGGGTTTCACTGTGGTCTCGATCTCCTGACCTTGTGATCCGCCCGCCTCGGCCTCCCAAAGTGCTGGGATTACAGGCTTGAGCCACTGCGCCCGGCCTAGCTTTTATGGCTATTTTTGAATTTCATCTCTCACTAATATAGAGATGAAATTCTATAGTTTCAATATAAATTCTCTTGGGTTTTTTTTTTTTTTTTTTGAGACTGAGTCTGGCTCTGTCGCCCAGGCTGGAGTGCAGTGGCCGAATCTCAGCTCACTGCAAGCTCCGCCTCCCGGGTTCCCGCCATTCTCCTGCCTCAGCCTCCCGAGTAGCTGGGACTACAGGCGCCCGCCACCTCGCCCGGCTAGTTTTTTTGTATTTTTTTAGTAGAGACGGGGTTTCACCGTGTTAGCCAGGATGGTCTCGATCTCCTGACCTCGTGATCCACCCGTCTCGGCCTCCCAAAGTGCTGGGATTACAGGCTTGAGCCACCGCGCCCGGCCCTTTTTTTTTTTTTTTTTTTTAAATTTTTTCGAGACAGGATCTCAGGCTGGCATGCAGTGGTGAGATCACAGCTCACTGCCACCTCAAATTCCTGGGCTTAGGTGATCTTCCCACCTTAGCCTCCGCAATAGCTGGGACTACAGGTACACACTACCGCACCCAGCTAGTAGTTTTTGTAGAGAGGGGGGTCTCTACAAAATGTTGCTGACATTGCTCTCAAACTACTGGCCTCAAGCAGTCCTCCTGCCTTGCCTCCAAAAGCGATTACAGGCGTGAGCCACCACACCCAGCCTTCTCTTGAGTTTTCTACATAAAATAACCATCTACAAATAATAGCTATCATTTTTTCTAAGTTCGGACAACAACCCCATGAAGCAGTAATATTATTAACCCCATTTCACAGCTGACGGATCTCAAACAAGAGATTTGTTTAGGGCCAATGAGCTAATAACTAGCGGAATAAAATTCAAAACCAAATCCAAGTCTTCCAGCTCCAGAGTTCATGTCCTCACCACCAGACAATAACAGCTCTATACTGATTATGTTAACTCCTTTTTCCTCTACTTTTATGTCTGTTTGAAGACTGCCAGAACAAGGTTGATTGTGGTGACAGCAAATATTCTTGTCTTCTTAATTTTAACTGGCAAATGTCTTTCATGTTTCATTTTTAGGTATAGCTTAACCAGAAAACCTCTGTAGCATGAGAATATTAATAATGTATATTTTCCTAAGAAAGAACCAAATCAATTTTTGAAAGAGGGATGGATTATGAAACTTTATTGATAACGACTTCAGTTCCAAAGGTGTATTCCATTCACATTTACCCTACATAAAATACCAACACCTTCTTGTTGCAAAAACAGAAACTCCGGCCATTGTATTGATGCTGACTTAAGAAAAATAGAAACCTCTATATAAGGCAAGAGTCCATACCAGAAGAATTTAACCAATATGAGATACTTCCAAAAAAAATCAATTCAATGACCTACTTTATGGTATGTAAGAGACCCAAAAAAGTCAGCTTTTGAGGGAAGTTGATATGCAGTTTATTGAACAAACAGAGTGTACAGTAACTAAAAGAACTGTGTATTTCCAGGGGGAATTAAGACCACATATCTGGATTCGCACCTAAAAGCACATAGAAAATTAAACCAAAGAAAGGGAAGTTTTTTACTGAAATCACTTGGGCCCAGGTTATTCTATACGAAGATTCTCACTGGCATTTGATAGTAACTCATCACCTTCTGTGCGAGCTTGGGAACCAGCTGACTGAGTGAACTGCTTCCTGTCTTCAGTGCATGATGACACAGATGTGTCAAGCTTGATAGACCTTACATGTAAATTTTTTTTTTTTTTTGAGACAGATGATACGGAGCCTTGCTCTGTCGCCCAGGCTGGAGTGCAGCGGCGCGATCTCAGCTCACACTGCAAGCTCCGCCTCCCGGGTTTACGCCATTCTCCTACCTCAGCCTCCTGAGTAGCTGGGACTACAGGGGCCTGCCACCTCGCCCGGCTAGTTTTTTGTATTTTTAGTAGAGATGGGGTTTCACCATGTTAGCCAGGATGGTCTTGATCTCCTGACCTCGTGATCCGCCCATCTTGGCCTCCCAAAGTGCTGGGATTACAGGCTTGAGCCACCATGCCCGGCCCTTACATGTAAATTTAAGAATACGAAGTTTTATACCCACCCTGGTTTTATTCCAAAATTACTGCTCTGCAATTTTGGGCTCCATCCTTAGGAAGATACTGGAAAAGCAAGGGAACCTTTCTCAGCTGCCTGTGTGAAGTGACGCTGTTAGAGAACGGTGCCCTGGGGCCTCATGCACTATTTCACAAGTATAGCTGCATAATCTATGGAAGTCACTGAATGGAAGAATCATCATTAATGGTATATTTAGGTTATGGAAGGTTCTTCTGAGATAAGAAAAGGTTCTACAATGCAGGTAGCTGTTGAGCCTCCTAAATATTTTACTCATTTAGTTAACATCACACTGCGCATTGAGTGCAAGATTCTTTGGTTACACCATATTAACCACCAGGAGCATAACTCCTGGTTTGTAAAAGAGATCAGTGGTTCTTAATGGAGGGTGATATGGCCCCAGGAGACATCTGACTATGTCTGGAGAGACCTGTTCACAGCTCTGGGGGGTGCTACTGGCATCTAGTGGGTATGGATGGCAGGAATGTTGCTGAATATTCCCCCAGGCACGGGGTGGCCCCACGGCAAACACCTCTCAGGCCACTAATGTGAACAGTCCCGAGGCTGAAATGTGCTGAAAGAGGTTCAGAAAATGTGTCTGGACTGTTGGAGAGTCAAATGTACATTATGGAGGCTGCAAGGCGCCCCCTGCATCTCACAGCTGAGGGACCCTGTCACCTCTCACCATGGGAGGCCAGTTCATTCCCGCCTTCCATTCCAGGCCCAGTGCCTGCTCCTTCTCACTGAAGAACCCAACAGAGATTTGCTGAATGAATGAGGGAAAAATAAGCTAGAAGCATGGTTTAAAGTCTTCCATTGACTACATTAAACAGCAATTTTATGTGGCCTAAAATTTATTCTGAACCTTAGTGGTGTCATAGTCTCTGACTACAAAGAACCTCAAAGTTAGGGCTAATACGTTCTTAAAGATGGAGTGCACATCTTAAGGGGAGTTTGTCTAAACACTTCTCGAGTCATTTTAGTAGGACAAACCAAATAAAATGGTGCTAAAGGCAAACATTCAAATACTTCATTTTAAACTAAAAAATTAACATATAAAATGCCATGCACAGCAGACACCATTCTTTTTTTTACATATTTACAATTTTACATATTTACTTATCAATATAATTTCTATCTTTACAATTATAAAATTATTTCGAACTGTGGACATACACTTTGTAGCATTCATTTGTTTTGTCCTTTAAAAGGCAATTATTTACCAAACCACAGTGAATGCCAGAGGAAGCACATAGGAGAATCATGGAGGGAAAAAAGATTGAGACAAAATTTGCACACAAGCCTTAAATGAATCTGTATCAGTAACTCAAATAAATAGTATTTTATTATTAACTAAGCTTCCCCTGCTAGGAAAAACAAAACAAAACAATCCCCATATACTGTACCTTTAAAAATGCTCTGACATTTATAAGCAATTTAGTTACATTCTAGATCCCAATCAGTTCAGTGTAGTAAGGGCTACCTGTAATTTAGGCTCAAATAAATACTCTCCATGTAAACTGTGATCATCCTGCATAAACTTGAGGTTGCAGTGGTGGAGGAAGTTTATCATTTTCAATGTTTTCAGAGTCAATAGCTGCTAACGGTTGATTTGGAGGCTTAATTTCCAGCGGGTATTTCTCAACAATGTCTTGAACTTCTCTTGTAATTCCATCTGTCCAATCTATGAGGTCTTTTTCCAGTTTCTTGGCTTCATTCATGATCCTTTCTTGTCGTTCATTCAACTGAGACAGGAGATCCAAGTTCTTATACATTTGCTTGACGCCTAAGCAAGCATCAGGAGACCAACTCTCAGCTTCTTGCTTCCTGGGAGAGGTCTGGCCAGACATGTAGCGATCAAAATCCTCCTGACTTAAATTCAAAGACTGGGCGTCTAACTTCTCAATGAAAGCCACGGCACAGCACTACAAGAAGAGGACGTTAATACAGTCATATTAGGAAAGCTACGCATACTCCAATCGATTTGTAAAAATCTTTTGATCACAGAGAATTTAAAATAGAAGCAAAAGTAAACAAAACAAACTCATGAACTTCCGTGTAACTCAGCCTGGAAAATTACCTACTCCTATCCCCGGTCATGCTTCCTGTACACTCCCAGGAGCTCTGGGGCCAATGTCTGGGTGCAGCCTCCCCAGGTACACCATGAAGCCATTCTGTCTGAGTCTTCCCAGACCTGCTATCCCCACCCAGGATACAGTGGGTGTAGGTCCTCAAGACACTGGTGTGGCACACGGACCTCTGATCCTCAAATAAATATTTTAACACCAAGTGGTTAAAAGAACAGCTCCAGGCCGAGCCCGGTGGCTCAAGCCTGTAATCTCAACACTTTGGGAGGCTGGGACGGGTGGATCATGAGGTGAGGAGTTTGAGACCAGCCTGGCCAATATGGTGAAACCCCGTCTTTACTAAAAATACAAAAATTAGCTGGGTGCAGTTATGGTGCCTGTCATCCCAGCTACCTGGGAGGCTGAGGCAGGAGAATCGCTTGAACCTGGGAGGCGGAGGTTGCAGTGAGCCGAAATCATGCCACTGCACTCCAGCCTGGATGACAGAGCAAGACTCTGTCTCAGGAGGAAAAAAAAATAAAAAAAAGAACAGCTCTGAAGCGACAGTACCTGAGTTGACTGTCACCTCTTTCACTTAACAACAACAGTGAGTGACCCTGGGAAAGTTACTTAAGCTCTCTGAGGTTTCTGTACCTGTAAATGGGGGGAAATACCATCCAGATTTATTGTGAGAATTAACAACATAGCACATGTCACAGGCTTCCAAGAGGCCTGCAGTGAGCAATGAATACATGGTAGCAATTACTAGTACAGAAATACCACTGCAAATGCCCAATTCAACAGACATCTGAGCTGGGTGTGTTGGCTCATGCTTATAATCCCAGCACTTTGGGAGGCCTGAGCCCCGGAGTTCGAGACCAGCCTGGGAAACAGTTGGGGTGGAAACCTCACTTCTAGAGAAAAGGAATAAAGAAAAAGAAAAATGTGATTCATCCGAGGAGAACGGAAGCGCACACCCATCTGGCTCATGGTGTGTGTGGAGCTGCTGTGGCCCCTGTGACTGGAGAGAGGAGGTGATTCTAACTCCTCACTTAGGTGAATGGAGACATGGCATGGCCACTAACAGAAATAAAGAATACTGGAAAAGAAACAAACATCTGAAGGGGACGTAGCTCTGAACAAATTATATTTGAGGTGCGATACAAGTGTGAGGTCAAGACAGGTGACACAGAGCTGTGGGTCATCACTGCACAGGTGAGTGACAGCTCTTTGACAGAGGAGATGGTGCAGGAAGAGATGCAGAGACGATGGAGTCCCAGGGAATGACACAATTCAAGGTGGAAGTAGAAGACACAGACTTTACAAAGAGACAAGGAAGTAGTGGGATTGTGGAAGCCAAGGAACAAGTTGCAGAACCAAGGACTCATGGAGAGTGCTACGAGAAGCGAAGGAAGATGAAGGCTGCGAGTGCCCGCGGGGTTTGTCAGCTGGAAACTTTTTACTTTTGCCAGAGCAGTTTCATTGGAGCAGTGGGTGCAGGGGACGAGACAGACTCTGAGTCAGGCCAGAAGAAGATGAAGAGGGAAGGCACAAAAGTACTTAAGGCTGCAGGCCAAAGGCCCTAGAAGCTGCTGAGTGTGTGCAAGCCAGCCACCTCTACTGTCAGTGACTGTGGCTACACTTGAATGTGTCCTGGTCCTCCTTCACTTCTCTCACTACCTGCCATGTCCACACTTCTCAGGGACTTCCAGGTTGTCTGACCTACTCTGGATAAAGAGCTGAATCCAAAAGGCTCTTCCCTCGCAGGCAAGTGTATGTTTCATTTATATTAACAAATATGAGGCCAGGTGCGGTGGCTCATGCCTGTAATCCCAGCACTTTGGGAGACTGAGGTGGGTGGACTGCGTGAGGCCAGGAGTTCGAGACCAGCCTGGCTAACAAGGTGAAACCCCGTCTTTACTAAAAATACAAACATTAGCCGGGCATGGTGACACACGTCTGTAATCCCAGCTACTTGGGAGGCTGGGGCATGAGAATCGCTTGAACCCAGGAGATGGAGGTTGCAGTGAGCTGAGATCACACCACTGTATTCCAGCCTGGGTGACACGGCGAGACTCCATCTCAAAAAATAAAAATTAAAAAAAAAAAAAGATATATGAGTACTTCTAATCTCATTCTATATGGGCCACTTAAACTTTAATACTATGGATTAAACCACCATGTGCCTGGGAGGATGGAAAACAGTGTGAATAAAGGTGAAAGCATCTGATCAAGAGCATTCCCAAGTCCCTCCACCTGCAAATCACTCCCGAGATGCTGGTGACTAGAGTAACACGTAGCTGAACACAATGGTGGAGGGTGATGAGTGATGGGGCAGGTCCAGGTATGAAGGAACCTGAGGCTTATACAATTTTTGGAATCTACTTACAGGAAAAGGAAAAAAAGTGACAAATACAAAAGTAGGTATAAATGTGAATATATACTTAGAATATAGAAATAAATCATGACATATTTTTAGAGTCTCAGAGATTCAAGTACCTGTCTTAAGACATTTTTTGGCAATTTATCAGAAATGCCCCCTATGCATCCTGGCTTCCCCTCCCCACCTCTTAGTTCCCAGGCTCTCAACACAAAAAACCAAGTCCATAAGCTGCCCCAAGGCTCCAAATTCATTAGCTTCATAGTACATTCCCTTGAAAGCAAATAAGCAGAGTTTAGTAGGAAGAAAAAGGAAGAATTCAGGTCAGGAGTGGCGGCTCATGCCTGCAGTTCCAACTCTTAGGGAGGTGGAGGTGCGAGGATTGCTTGAGTCCAGCAGTATGAGAGCAGCCTGGGCAACATAGCGAGACCCCATCTCTTTAAAAAAAAAAAAAAAAAGAACGAAAAAATTGGCCCAGTGTAATGGTGCATGCCTGTGGTATCAGCTACACAGCAGGCTGAGGTGAGAGGACTTCTTGAGCCCGGGAGGTCAAGGCTGCAGTGAGCTACGATTGTACCACAGCACTCCAGTCTTGGTGACAGAGTGAGACTCTGTAGTAGAATGAATGAATGAATGAATGAGGGAAATATTCAGCCTTATTAATTTAAATATAATTTGCCTTCTTCATGGTTGAAAAGGCCCAGCCAAGTGAAGGACTCTTCTACACAGGACCGTGGGGAGTGATGCCCAACACATGTCATCTGTTTCCGTAGGACAAACACAAGCTCTGATCAAGTGCTGGGAGGCAGAGTGTCTGTATGGCCTGGTCCTTGTGCTCCCTGATGCAAAGTGAGCTTCCTCAGCCATGCTGCCTTCTCAAACAGGAGCATTCACCTGTCATGGGCCTGAGTCACCTGTCACATCCCCAAAACCACCACCTTCCTAGTCCTTCTCTACAACACCAAGAACTCACTTACTCACCAGATTGGTGAAATAGTAGCCATCCTCTCCAGTCATCAGTCGGCTTGGATTGCAGAAGCGCGTGATATACTGGATATTAGACTGAAGGCGTGGGGGGTTGCCCTTCAAAACGATGTAGATGAGGGTGGGGAGGAAGTCATCCGCTGACGCCGGCTCGTTCTTGGTGATCTTGATGGCATTGAAGATGTGCTTGCTGCACTTGGTGATGCAGGCCAACTTGTCTCGAGGCACACGCTTGGAATCCATTTCAATGATATCTACAAAGCAGAAAAGACAGTATTTCCCATGAGAAAAGAATCACAAAAAAGAAGCAATAGGAAAATCATGTTTTATCTCTAAAGTTATGAAGGAATCCTCACTAACCCCCTTTCCAGCAGTTAACTTAGTGTATACATGACTTACTAAATATGATCTCACACTCACATAAAACAGAACCAAGAGCCAGGTACTACACAGTGTGCCCTACAAGCACATTTCTCTAATCCTCAGATTATGCAATGGATACTCTTATTAATATTATCCATTTTAGTGATGAGGGGGCTGAGGTTCAGAGAGGTTAAATGATTTGCCCAAGATCATACAGACAGTAGGGAGCAGGGTGGGAATTTGAAACCATGTCTACCTGACTGTAAAGCCCACACTCCTTTTTTTTTTTTTTTTTTTTGAGAGGGAGTTTCACTCTTTGTTGCCCAGGCTGGAGTGCAGTGGCCTGATCTCTGCTCACTGCAACCTCTGCCTCCTGGGTACAAGCGATTCTCCCGCCTCAGCCTTTAAAGTAGCTGAGATTACAGACGCCCGCCATCATGCCCAGCTACTTTTTGTATTTTTAGTAGAGACGGGGTTTCGCCATGTTGGCCAGGCTGGTCTCAAACTCTTGACCTTAGGTGATCCACCCACCTTGGCCTCCCAGAGTGCTGGGATTACAGGTGTGAGCCACCATGCCTGGCCAAGCCCACACTTCTAATCACAATGTAAGCTGCCTCTGAGCTCCATGGAGAAGGAAGAAGTTGTCTGATGAAGAATCTTTTTACTGCTTCTGTGCCTCTGTTACATTTTAGAATGTTTTCGACAGTCCCAGTTTGCATACTGCTATTTAGAAATGTGGTTACTACACAAAGCATCTTTGTATTGGATGTGAGAATACAAAAATTAGCCGGGTGTGGTGGTGTGTGCCTACAGTCCCAACTACTCGAAAGGCTGAGGCAGAAAGATGGCTTGAGCCCGAGAGGTTGAAGCTGCAGTGATCACACCACAGCACTCCAGCCTGGGCAAGAGAGCAAAATCCTGTTTTTCTTTTTTTTTTTTTTTAAAAAAACAGCTACTGGAATCCAACACACTTAGGTCTACAGTGACCAACTCTCCAGCATGTGGATCTCCCCTAGCTACAGAAATCACGACATTCACACCTGCTGATTGGCAGAGGGGATCAAGCAAGGGAATACATTTAATCTCAAAATAACATTTTACCTCTCCCAGGGAAAAATTTCACTACCCACGACTACCACTAAGTCCAAGCAGTGGGCTCTCATGAACGCCCACTCTTTTCCAACGAGCCTGGGGGACAGCGAAGGGTGCTGAAACACACGCGTGCCTCTGGGGGTGCACATCTGCCGGCAACTTGGAACATCATAAAATAGCCAAGGCAGCTTAATTTTACACCAAATTCTTGCCACTAGCAGGAATAAAAGTTTCAGACTCGGGCCAGGCAGTGGGGTCTACCAAAGGGTTCTTTCTGTTCTTAGATCATCCCTGAGGTCGCCTCCTAGGCCCATCTGCTATGAAAGACAACGTGTAGGGGACAGACAACGTGTAGGGGACAGATGTGCTAGGTAGTGCACAGGCCTTATTTTAACTTATGAGTGCTTTTACTCCCTTACTTATGAGGCTACTGTGTGAATTACATAATTTTTGCTTATTTTATTGTTTGCTTCCTTTAATCCTTTAATTCTGGGTTATAATTATTGTTATACTGATCTATTTATTTTTCTTTTTATATGGAACTTATTATACATAAGAATTGGGTAAGATTGGGTAAGATTTTTTAAAGCCATTTTTACTACCTTGATTTATCTTTAGCTTTCTACCTTTTATTGATTTTTTCTTTCTCTTTTAAAGTTTAAACCACTTTCTTGTTAATCTTTATTTATCAGTGTTCTTTCATCTGGCATCCTATTCATCTTTATTGTTGACATTTTGAAAGCGAGTAAAAAGTGAATTATGTTTTATCTGGATGTGTGTGTGGCTGCTATTGCCATGAGGCAGGGCTGGGGTGGAAAAAGGGAGAGAAGGGAAGGAAAAGGAGAATAAAGGAAGATAAACACCCCCAGGGACTTCTTCCACATGCTTCATCCTGCAGATACCCCTTCCTAGCATCCTCCAGCCTGAAGGAAGTCTTCATGGAACTCTTTGGATTCCCATCCTGGTGTGCGATTCCACGATTTGCATTGCTTCAAAGTCTCAACTAGGAGATATGCGAGTAGAAAGCAACACCCAGGAAACTCACTGCTGTCTAATAATTTCCCTCCCCAGCCTGCCTGCTATGATTTACTCTTCAGAGCCCTGCATAATTGCTCTATGTCTTCTCCCAGGGCTCTGCCTTGTCGTGAATAGGAAGCACAGGGCTGAGTGTGCGCTCCATCTCTGCTGGGTCCAGGTGTCCAGGCTTATCTTTAATGGAGTTGTGAAATCAAAGGCTATACCTCCAGGTCATGGTTTCTCTACATGGACACTCCTGACATTTGGGGCTGAATAATTCTTTGTTGTAGGGAACTATCTTGTGCATTGTAGAATGTTTAATAGCATCCTTGGCTTCTACCCACTAGATATTAGGAGTACCCCCACAGCTGGACATTTTAAAATGTCTCCAGGCCTGGCTCAGTGGCTCACACCTGTAATCCTAGTAAGTTAGGGAGGTAAAGGTGGGAGGATCACTTGAGTCTAGGAGTTCGAGAACAGCCAAGGCAACATGATGAAACTCTGTCTCTACAGAATGTGAACAAAAATTAGCTGGGTGTGGTGGCATGTGCCTGTGGTCCCAGCTACTCGGGAGGCTGAGGAGGGAGGATCGCTTGATCCTGTGAGGTCAAGGCTGCAGTGAGCCACGATCGTGCCACTGTACTCCAGCCTGGGTGACACAGAGATCCTGTCTCAAAAATAAATAAATAAATAAGTAAGTCTCCAGATGCTATCCAATGTCTCTGGGGGACCACTGGTGCCTGGCTAAGAACCACTGCCCCCATAGCCACACAGAAGTCATGCAGGCGAAGCCAAATGGGAAAGGGTGTCTGTCAACAGATGAATGGATAAAGAAAATGTGGCGCACACACACAGTGGAGTACTATTCAGCCATATCAAAAAATGGGATCCAGTCATTTGCAATAACATGGATGAAACTCCGGGAGGATATTATGAAGTGAAATAAGCCAGGCACAGAAAGACAACCATCACATGTTCTCACTCATTGGCGGGAGCTAAAAACTTAAAACAATTCAAGCATGTTTTACCAGAAGGATGGTTACCAGAGGCTGGGAAGGGTAGTGCGGGGCATGGGGGATAGTGGGGTATAGCGGCCAAGGGGTAACCAGATAACCAGAAAAGTTAGAAAGAATGAATAAGACCCAGTATTTGCTAGCACTACAGGGGAACTATAGTCAAAAGTAATTTAATTGTACCTTAAAAATTAATTAAGAGAATATAACTGGATTGTCTGTAACACAACAACTAAATGCTTCAGAGGATGGACCCCATTTCCCCTAAGGCAATTACCACTCATTACCTGCCTGGATCAAAATAGCTCACGGAACTCATAAATCTATACACCTATTATGTACACACAAAAATTAAAAATTAAACAAAACAGAGAGAGAAAGGGAAACTTCCACCATCAGCCACAGGCCCTGACACTCTCCTTGTCCTAAACTCTTGGAGCTAAGAGGAGCTGATGATGGACGCTCTGGTCCCCTTCCTGGGGTGACACACTCTTCCTTTCAGAAGTCCTGAAGAGTGTTCGACCTCAGGGAAGAGGCCTTGAAGACTCTCAAAATTTTATGCAGTTCTCTTCAACAGACCTCGTATTTGTTACTTGTCAGCCCAGAACATGAGTCTCCTGCCCTAGAAGAATGTGACCCACACTGCGTAACTTGATGGGCAGCCTCTCGCATCGAGTCTCACTATTCGGGGAACACAGATACACTTCCCTGATCCCTCAGGCCACCCACCTCTACTTTCACCACTGATGCGTCACACAAACACTTGCTACCAGCTGATGCCCCAGTGAACCATGCCCTACCTGGGAGAAAGAGGCCAGGAAGCCTGGGGACTTCCCTGTTAGCAACAGGCCATAAAGGCTACGTTGGCTTGGACAAAACTCCCATGGAACACTCTAAATATAAACCAGCTGATCTTGAACTTTCTAGTAAGAGTCAGAAAAAACACAAGTCCCAGGTCCGTATTCAGGCTTTTAGAAGGCCTCCACCTTCAACTTCTTATAGGGTTCCCGGAGCAAACGGTGCAGGAGGCAGAGTAGTCATGACCTATGCCATAGCCTAGCAGAAAAGCTTGCAAGAAAAAAACACAATAGTATTGACCTGGGCCACTTGGATTCTACCTCCAGAACTTGCACAGGAAATTATAGAAACCAGTAATTTACTTAATAACAGGAGTTGACATGTGAAGATACACAAAGAGAAGCAGAACCCGAGAAAGTGGAAGAATCACATCAGCAGAGAATGCCTGGAGCAGACCTTCTTGCCGTTGTAAAGGCAGTAAGATAGCCCACTCCCTGGAGGAACCTGGGGGGTAGGGTCCTGAGAGACTTCGCCTCCTTTATAATCCTGATAATACCCTCAGCAAACCTCCATCTCTTCCTGTGGCTTGAGTGAGTCTCTGGTTCCTATAACAAAAGGAGCCTACTCGATGGCCAGCCTCCAACACTACTAATCAACTGACCCGCTTCCTTTCCAGTAGAATTTCATTAACAATGTCTACATGAACAAGCCTTTCTAAGTCTTCTTTCTAATAAAGGAGACACTGGCCAAAGTTGAACATCCCTTCATTAAGATTTTTTTTTTAAATTGAAACGTTTGTGTTGCAGTCTTGCTGGGTCATTCCCATGAATGACAAACAAACCTTATGAGGAGGCTGCACCTGTCTAGAACAGCAGCGCCACATCAACCTGGGGCACTTCATTTATTTAGCGATCAAACCAGAAAAATAACTCTCAGGGCTTCTCTAATTAACAACCAGTCAGAGGCATCATTTTAATATGTTCCTCCAGCATGGGGATTACCTTGCCTTACCAGTTCCCTTCCTCTCTCCAAAATTATTTTGAATATATAAATGCAACTGAAACTTAAGAAATTTGTAGGCCGGGCGCGGGGGCTCAAGCCTGTAATCCCAGCACTTTGGGAGGCCGAGACGGGCGGATCACGAGGTCAGGAGATCGAGACCATCCTGGCTAACACAGTGAAACCCCGTCTCTACTAAAAAATACAAAAAAACTAGCCGGGCGAGGTGGGGGGCGCCTGTAGTCCCAGCTACTCGGGAGGCTGAGGCAGGCGAATGGCGTGAACCCGGGAGGCGGAGCTTGCAGTGAGCCGAGATCGCGCCACTGCACTCCAGCCTGGGCAACAGCGCGAGACTCCATCTCCAAAAAAAAAAAAAAAAAAAAAAAAAAAGGAACAAATTTGTTCTATCATGGGAACAGTCAGCTGAATAAAAAGAGAAAAAAATATTTATTCTGTATTTGACCTTAGTTGAGTTCAATGCCCAAGAAATGGGACCATAATCCCTGAAAATAAAGGGGGAAAAGAGTTAACCTGCTCTTCTGAATGCCATCAAATTCATAAAACTAACAATCTCACAAATCACTTTTACTACATTCCAATGTACCTTCGACAATCTGCATTTTACAAATGTATAGACTAATATTACAGCAACATGTTACCCTTAAGGGGAGAACATCCCAATAAAAAGGCTCTTGGTTTCACTGACCTGTGATCGCCTTCACCACCATGTCAGACACTTCTGGGATGTCTTCATTAACAGGGACACACAGCATCTGAGGCGTAACCCAGCGCAGGGCTCTAAAGAGAGAGAGACAGTAAACAAGGGCTCCAAGGATGAACCGTGGCCATTCGTCTTGTCACCTCCTTCAGTTTAGGGAAAGCCTGAGGCATCATTGATCACTCAGACAATCCCAGGCCCACACACATCAACCCTCCAAGTACTAGGAGGTCAAATGACATGACAAAGCAGCTAGGATCCTAAAATGAGACTTGTACACTTATCACAAGAATGGAAGGCCATCTTGCTGACTGAAATGACATTACACAGTACTACCAACACTGAAATGCACTCGGTATTTGAAAGTCACCATTTGAGAACTGGCTGCTGCCTGTCCTCACTGTCTACAGCATTAATGTTCTTTTACACTCAGTCCTCAACCTTTTTTTTTTTTTTTTTTTTTGAGATGGAGTAACTCTGTTGCCCAGCTGAAGAGCCGATCTTGGCTCACTGCAGCCTCTGCATCCTGGGTTCTAGCAATTCTCCTGCCTCAGCCTCCCAAGCAGCTGGGACTACAGACGCCCACCACCATGCCCAGCTAATTTTTGTACTTTTACTAGAGACGGGGTTTCACCCTGTTGGCCAGGCTGGTCTCAAACTCCTCACCTCAGGTGATTTGCCTACCTTGGCCTTCCAAAGTACTGGGATTACAGGTGTGACCCACTGCACCTGGCCTCAGCCCTCAATTTCTGAGGCACACTGGAGTTCGTGTAGGAGGCCACGGGCAGGATCACCATGCCTGAATCACTCACTGTGTGTTTCCTGGTCCCACCCTAACTGCACTCCAACTACCCTGCTGCGGGCCTCCCCTCTTGCTTGGTTACTGCTTCCATTCTGTATCTTGGTCCAGGACCCCTCTGGTTACTTCTGACTCCTGACCTTGGGCTCTGTATCTTCAACCTGCCCAGTATCAACTCCTCACTTCAGCTGTGAAACTTCCAATACAGATCTGGCAAGTACCAGCCCCTGTCTGGAACCTGGGACTCCAAGGCCCCTCTCCCCTTAAAACACCTCATCAGCTCAGCCTTGGCCCTGTTCCCACACTTAGGTGGTCTTTTCCTCACTGTCCACCACAACTGGAGTGCAGAGTGCTGGGGCTCGCCCCAGTGAGCCTGGAAGACTGGGTGCTGTGGGCAATGTCATCAATCCAATGCTAGTGAAAGATGTGACTGGGGAATGGTGAAAAATGTGCACCCCTGGGAGGAATGAGGAAAGATGACATCCACTGACTTGTTATTTTTTTGAGAAGCAGTCCTGCTCTGTTGCCCAGGCTGGAGTGTGGTGACACGATCTTGGCTCACTGCAACCTCTGCCACCTGGATTCAAGTTATTCTCGTGCCTCAGCCTCCCAAGTAGCTGGGATCATAGACGTGCGCCACTATGCCTGGCTAATTTTTGTATTTTTAGTAGAGACGGGGTTTTACCATGCTGCCCAGGCTGGTCTTGAACTCCTGGCCTCAAGTGATCCACCCACCTCAGCCTCCCAAAGTGCTAGAACTAAGGTATGAGCCACTGGGCCCAGCCAACATCCCCTGCGTTGATACGGATATTCACAGCTTCCTGCTTGAGGAAATGGTAATGGACCAAGAACACAGTCCCCCAATTCCTTGGCGATTTCAGGGATTGAAAACAATCTCAAACGCCAAACACAACTCTTACCAAAAGCTGCTTTTACAGAGATGGATAGGTAAAGTTACATTCCTTGTCTTTCTGACACAACAGAGCAGCTTCCACTCTAAGGAAGCAGGAACGTGAACTGTTGCTTTCCCTTAAGGTTTGAAAGGCAGGTGCCTTATTTTCCCCCAGTGTGTTCTTCCATTAGTAAATAGTAAGTATAAAGCAAAACAAAATAAGCAACTACCTGATCCTCTTTTGAATGGCAAGATCTTTCTTCTCATCATCAGTAGTTTCTGGACAGAACACGTGTTTATAGAGACGAGTCATGATGTACTTTTCAATCTGATCCATTATCTTCTCGACTCTTTCTGGAGGCACTGAAATAACCAGACAGAGAAAAGATCAAGATATATATATATGTGTGTGTGTGTGTGTGTGTGTGTATATATATGTGTGTGTGTATATATATGTGTGCATATATATGTGTGTGTGTGTGTGTGTGTGTGTGTGTGTGTATATATATATTTTTGGAAACAGAGTCTGGCTCTGTCACCCAGGTTGGAGTGCAGCGGCATGAACTTGGCTCGCTGCAACCTCCACCTTCTGGGCTCGAGCCATTCTCCTACCTCAGCCTCCCAAGTAGCTAGGACCACGGGCACACACCACCATACCTGAATAATTTTTGTAGGTTTTTTTCTTTGTAGAGATGGGGTTTTACCATGTTGCCCAGGCTGGTCTCAAAATCCTGGGCTCAAGCAATCTACCTGCCTCAGCCGCCCAAAGTACTAGGTTTATAGGCATGAGATAGCATGCCCGGCCAAGAGTATGTTTTCATAGTACGTTCTACACAGCAAAAAACTAATTTACTAGAAATACATTAAATACACTCAGAACAAAAGTATAAGAATGTTATATTTAAAAATATGCTTACAGGCCGGGCGCGGTGGCTCACGCCTATAATCCCAGCACTTTGGGAGGCCGAGGCGGGCGGATCATGAGGTCAGGAGATTGAGACCATCCTGGCTAACATAGTGAAACCCCATCTCTACTAAAAATACAAAAAAATTAGCCAGGCGTGGTGGCGGGCGCCTGTAGTCCCAGCTACTCAGAAGGCTGAGGCAGGAGAATCGTGTGAACCCAGGAGGCGGAGCTTGCAGCGAGCCGAGATCGCGCCACTGCACTCCAGCCTGGGCGACAGAGCGAGACTCCACCTCAAAATAAATAAATAAATAAATAAATAAATAAATAAAAATATGCTTACAAAATAACTTACTGGCCAGGCGCGGTGGCTCACTCCTGTAATCCCAGCACTTTGGGAGGCTGAGGCAAGTGGATCACCTGAGGTCAGGAGTTCAAGACCAGCCTGGCCAACATGGTGATATCTCCTCTCTACTAAAAATACAAAAATTAGCTGGGTGTGGTGGCACGCACCTGTAGTCCCAGCCACTCGGGGGCTGAGACAGGAGAATCACTTGAACCTGGGAGGCAGAGTTGCAGTGAGCCGAGGTCACACCACTATACTCCAGCTTGGGCGACAGAGTGATATTCTGTCTCAACAAAAACAAACAAACAAAAAAACTTCTTTCAAATGTTGGGCTGCCTTCCATAGCATCCTCAGTTCTAACTGAAGTTGTCTGGCAGGACCTAACAGTGTACACCCTGCCAAATGGGGAGACCTCAGCAAGGTCACTCCCTGTCCTACATTGAAAAGGCATTTGCAACTCCCAAGACTGATGAATGCTGATGAAATTTATCCTTTCATTTTTCTGAGGTTTACCATAACACCTTAGACCTCTCGGAGGTATACAAATGGAGCAGATTTCTCAGATACACACATGTCCTGAGTACATCCTAAAGTCTAACATCACTGGAGGTTGAATCCATAAAGAATCCCTAAAAACCTGAAGTGCCCCCCCACCACTTTTTTTTTTAACTATTAATACAATGACTCACCAAAATGGTGATTCCAAGATGGGAAATTCATTTAGCAAAGCCTTCCAAGAAGTTTTTTTCTTTCCCTCTCTCTCTCTTTCTGTTTTGGAGACAGAGTCTCGATTTGTCACCCAGGCTGGAGTGCAGTGGTGCAATCTCAGCTCACTGCAACCTCCACCTTCCAGGTTCAAACAATTCTTGTTCCTCGGTCTCCCAGGTAGCTGGGATTACAGACATGCACCACGACACCCGGCTACTTTTTGTATTTTTAATAGAGGTGGGGTTTCACCATGTTGGCCAGGCTGGTCTTGAACTCCCGGCCTAAAGTGATCCGCCCACTTTAGCCTCCCAAAGTGCTGGGATTACAGGCATGAGTCACTGCACCAGGCCCTAAGAGGTTTTCGTCTGCTCCACCCCTGCCCCTAATGGAGTTATTAAACATTACTCAATAAATTATCCAATTGCTCCTGGAAAGATACACATGGCACAGTTAAAGGCACTGCTAAGTGTAAGACCAGTTCCCAGAATGTCAGTGAGGTTACAGGATGAAGTCTACAAAACAGCCAGACCATCAGGGAAAGAAAGAAATTGCTAAGAGACTGAGCAGTCGACCCTCTGCAATACCCGCAATCTCTCAATGGCTAACAGTGTTACCTTTCCCGCGAGTCTGCATCCTTTCGGCCACATTGTGGTAGAAATCCTGAGCACACTCTGACTGTTCTTCAATGCTCAGATCCTGAAAGAGAGACAAAGTGGCCACTTGTAGCTGAACAAAGTGCAGAAGCACAGCTCTACATTCTAAGAACTCTCCAAAAGCCACTCCTTGTACTGGTAGTAAGCCTAAAAGTACTCACAGGTTATATTAATCCTGCAGGAGAGTAAATCCTATCCATTAATATTATTTCCAATATCCACTGTTGCCAGACTTTTCCTTAGTTCAGCTAAAGATGGGGTCCTTGTCTGTCTCACGGCCACAAAAATTTAGGCTCACAGACAGTTTGAATGGTGAGTAAGACAGGGTTTTATTAGATGAAAAGGAAGAAAAGGGGGAATCAGAGACTCTCACAAGGCCAGAATCCCTGCTAGAATGCTTCCTGCCAGCAGCTAGAATCCCAGGCTCCACACAGAAAGAAGAGGCGCCAGGCTCCTCCCCGCTACAAATGGTGCAAACTTCCCAAAGCTCCACCCCGGGGGGCAGGCCGGCTGCAGTTTTTCCGGGGACCCCTTCCCACCTAGCAGTCTCACCATGACCATCTCATTCTTTTTTCTATATCTACATAGTCTTAAATAGATTTAATGCATGTTTTGATAATTTACATATTTTATGGACATTTCTCTTTAACCCACTGAATCATTTTTGGTGGCTTTATAACATTCCATCATATTAACTGACTTATTTGACTCTTCTCTACCACTGTGCATTTGAGTTGCTTCCCCTCTTTCACTGTTGTGCATCGTAGCTATAAATAATTTTGTAAGGACTATCTTCTTTTGGGTTACTTCTCTGTGATACATTTCCAAAAGTGGCATTAACCACTTAATAAGAATAAATGACGTTATAACTCTAAGCATCTATTGCTACTCATACTCCTCAGAAACTCAGTGCACACTGTCATTAACCACGTGTATGTGCTTATTTCCCTATGGCCCTTACAACATTGGGTCTGATAATTTTCATTTGGTTTTACTGATTTTATAGGTGTAATATATGTATGTTTCTCACTTTCTACCAAAGAGAATTTAAAGTCTATTTAAAAGATATATGCAGTTCAGCACAAGAGACTAGAAAATAAAAAGAATAACAAATAACTGTAATCCCAGTGCTCTGGGAGGCTGAGGCTAGAGATCGATTGAGCCTACAAGTTCGAGACCAGCCTGGGCAACATAGTGAGACCGCATCTCAGAAAAGAAAAGTTAAAAATTTTTAACAACAAGAAGTTAAAAAAAAAAAAAAAAAAAGCAAATTAAACACGGAGAGAGACGGAAAGCAGAGCCACAGATGACAAGACAGAAATGTTTTCCTGGAAGATGTCTAAATTAGTCAAGAGTCAGCCCATACACATCTGTTTCTAACTAAACTTTTTAGCAGTCATCATTAAGATGAAAACAGTTACATAATTCAGGGTTCAAAAGACGAAAGCAAACCAATCCTTCAGGTGAAATTCTGACATCAAAATCAAAAATTTCTCCCAAGGGTTCTCACAAGGATGTCACGGTAGAAGAGCATGAATAAGGCCAAGAACAAACCCCCTGGACCGGCTGTCACAGACTTCATCTACATAGGCCATTGACATCACACGCCAAGGGCCGATACATCCTGTGGAAGCCTGCAGCAGTCTGACGGTCTGGCTTAAGTCTAAAAGAATGGCAGGATTCTCAGGGTCACGGGCAGTCACCTCGTTCCCTCAGTGAAAAAGGCCAAAAGCACTCACGGCACTTTGTGATCACCGTGACTGCAGCCCTCGTTACTGTCGACTGCTTACCCATATCCATGCCATTTGTTGAATTAAAACTGATCCCTCATCTATAAAAGCCTAGGAACTACCTTTAGTAAAGTTCAGATATTTCACGATATTAAGCTCTTATTTATATTCATGACTTCCCACTGTTTTATTTTTTATTGCACAGATATTTTTTTTAAAGTTAATACTATTAAGCCTTTTATCTGGTCATTAAAAACAATTCTTTTGGCCAGGTGCAGTGGCTCACGCCTGTAATCCCAGCACTTTGGGAGGCCGAGGCGGGTGGATCACCTGAGGTCAGGAGTTCGAGACCAGCCTGGCCAAAATGGCGAAACCCCGTCTCTACTAATAATACAAAAATTAGCTGGACATGCTAGTACACACCTGTAATCCCAGCTACTCAGAAGGCTAAGGCAGGAGAATTGCTTGAACCCTGGAAGCGGAGGCTGCAATGAGCCGAGATCACACCATTGCACTCCAGCCTGGGTGACAGAGTGAGATTCTGACTCAAGACAAACAAAGAAATTCTTTTTTTTTTTTTTTTTTTAAGTTTTAAATTTTATTCCTCTTTTTACTTAATTTTTTAACACATATAGAGACAAGGTCTCACTGTGTTGCCCAGGCTGGTCTTAAACTCCTGGGTTCAAGTGATCCTCTGGCCTTGACCTCCCAAAGTGCTGGGATTACAGGTGTGAGCCACTGCGCCCGGGGAAAACAATTTTTTGATAGTTCAATTTTAGCTCCTCTTTACAGCTGAAATACATATCCTATCTACTTTCTTTTTTTTTTTTTTTTCCCGAGATGGAGTCTTGCTCTCTTGCCCAGGCTGGAATGCAGTGGCGTGATCTCACTGCAACCTCTGTGTCCTGGGTTCAAGCGATTCTCCTGCCTCAGCCTCCGAAGTAGCTGGGATTACGGGCATGCACCGCCACACCCAGCTAATTTTTGTTGTTGTTTTTTTCTTTTTTTTTGAGACGGAGTCTCGCTCTGTCACCCAGGCTGGAGTGCAGTGGCCGGATCTCAGCTCACTGCAAGCTCCGCCTCCCAGGTTCATGCCATTCTCCGGCCTCAGCCTCCTGAGTAGCTGGGACTACAGGCGCCCACCACCTCGCCCGGCTAGTTTTTTGCATTTTAGTAGAGACAGGGTTTCACCGTGTTAGCCAGGATGGTCTCGATCTCCTGACCTCGTGATCCACCCGTCTCGGCCTCCCAAAGTGCTGGGATTACAGGCTTGAGCCACCGCGCCCAGCCTTCTTTTTTTTTTTTTGAGACAGTCTCACTCTGTCACCCAGGCTGGAGTGCAATGGTGGGAACTCGGCTCACTGCAATCTCCGCCTCCCGGTTCAAGTGATTTTCCTGCCTCAGCCTCCTGAGTAGCTAGGATTACTGGCACCGGCCACCATGCCCAGCTAATTTTTGTATTTTTAGTACAGACAGAGTTTCACCATGTTGGCTAGGCTGGTCTTGAACTCCTGGTCTCAAGTGATCCAGCTGCCTCGGCCTCCCAAAGTGCTGGTATTATAGGCATGAGCTACCATATCAAGCTCATATCCCAATTTACTTTCTTCTCAATACTTTCACGGTTAGCTCTTTGATTTGGCTGAAATGTAAGGTGCATGGTATGAAACACAGAACTAAAATAAACTTTATACAAGCCTATCTGTCATCAGCAGCAGTTAGTAAAGCATGACCTTATTCCCTCTTGTCCTCCCAGTTGTCATATAACTTGCTCCTGAGAAATGAAATCTATTTTTGAAATCTCTGGTTTATTTCACTGTTCTATATTTTCATTTTTTACCTAAATCTTATCTAGGTGTGACGACTTTCATTTTAGAACATATTTAAAAGTCTGCTGGATTTAGAAGCCTCCCTGCTTCACAAATTCCTACTTTTTACCCCCTCACAAAAAAAAAATCATATGGTATATGTGTTTTCCTGTTTTTCTAGAATAATGAAACATTGTAATTTAAATGATATTTTAAGTGTTTATACTGACCTGCAAAGTTTGTCCTGGAGTGCAGTGGCGTGATCCTGACCCACTGAAATCTCCGCCTCCCAGGTTCAAGCAATTCTCCTGTCTCAGCCTCCTCAGTAGCTGGGACTACAGGTGTGCGCCACCATACCCGGCTAATTTTTTTATTTTTAGTAGACATGGGGTTTCGCAAAGTTGTCTAGGCTGGTCTTGAACTCCTGACCTCAAGTGATCCACCCGCCTTGGCCTCCCAAAGCGCTGGGATCACAGGCGTAAGCCACCACACCCGGCCACCGTCAAACTGTCTTTTAATTCTTTGAATGAACTTCCAAGTTGCCACATTAAATTCTCAATATTTAACATTCTTTATTGCTGTTGTCTTTTAAAATTACTTTTTTTTGGAGATGGAGTCTCACTCAGTCACCCAGGCTGGAGTGCAGGGGCGCCATCTCAGCTCACTGCAACCTCCACCTCCCAGGTTCAAGCAATTCTCCCGCCTTAGCCTCCTGTGTGGCTGGGATTACAGTCGCCTGTCACTACGTCCAGCTAATTTTTTGTATTTTTCATAGTAGATAAGGGGTTTCACCATGTTGGACAGGCCGGTCTTGAACTCCTGACCTCGTGATTCGCCTGCCCTGGCCTCCCAAAGTGCTGGGATTACTGGCGTTAAGTCACAGCACCCAGCCTAAAATTACTATTTTAAAAAAAATGCTAGGCTGTTTTTTTTATCACTAGTATGTACACTGTAAGTAAATTCTGTGGACTTATCTTGCCATGTTGCTGTATCTGTGCTTCTATTACTGTTCTGTTTTCCCTTGAATTTTCTTTTTTTTTCTTTTTTCTTTTTTTAAATCTTTTAACAAATGGTTTATTGATACTATGTTATAATGCATGACAAAATATTAGTATCTAATTCTAGACTTCATGGCCACCCCACAGGATGAATCTTTTTTTTTTTTTTTTTGAGACGGAGTCTCGCTCTGTGGCCCAAGCTGGAGTGCAGTGGCCGGATCTCAGCTCACTGCAAGCTCCACCTCCCGGGTTTACGCCATTCTCCTGCCTCAGCCTCCCGAGTAGCTGGGACTACAGGCGCCCGCCACCTCGCCTGGCTAGTTTTTTGTATTTTTCAGTAAAGACGGGGTTTCACCATGTTAGCCACGATGGTCTTGATCTCCTGACCTCGTGATCCGCCTGTCTTGGCCTCCCAAAGTGCTGGGATTACAGGCTTGAGCCACCGTGCCCGGCCCACAGGATGAATCTTTGGAACAGAAAAAAAAAAATAAAGATTTTGTTTTCCCATAA